TTGGAAATGTAGGAGTGGTACCAGATTACACTGGAGATGCACTCAGTCATATTAAAGCTTACCCACCAACTTGCACTGTCATTCATCCCAAGTCTGTTTTTCTCTCCCCTCCTACTACTCTCTTTGAATGCCAAGCTAAGGAATTGGGATTTCGTTCTAGAGGTAATAACAGAAAGCAATTCAAAGATTTTAGGTAGAGATGTAAAATTTTCAGATCTGGTCATGTTACTTCAAAGCATCTGTGTACCACCTTCTGCATGCAGCCTTCCCTGATCCCCTTAACATAGTTCCCCCTTTCCCAAACCAACTTGTATCTAACTAATCTATATATATTTGTATTTCTTAACTTTCATTTGTGATGTGTGTGTGTATGTGTGTCTTGTCTCCCCCATTAGAATGTAAGTTTCATTGGGGTAGGAATTTGCCCCCCTCTTTGCGCTTGTATGCCTAATACCTAGTACAATGCCTGGAAAGCAGTAGAAACTTAACAAATATTTGTTGGTTGATGGATTGACCTCTGCTAGTGTGATGGCAATGAGAACTGAGAGAACTCTTCAACGGTTTCTTTCCTATTTTTAGTGACTTCCCCTCATCTTTGAAAACAAAAAATAAAACAAATTTCATTTGAATCTACCATGCCCTCAAGCTGTATACTGTATCTCTCCTTCCTTTTGTTATTAGTTTCTTAGGAAAAGCTATCTAAAATCATCTTCTCTACTTTCTCATTTCCATCACTTCTACTTTCTCACCTCCAACTCACTTCTCAACCCCTGACAATTGACTTACGGGTCATGTGTCCAACAAGATGGAAGAACAAATTCTTGTGATCTCTTACATCTTTCTAAAATAAGAATTATGTTTAAGAGATAAAACAATTTCAGCTATTTTCATGATCTAAGACACAAAGAATCCTAATGAAATAACAACCTGATGAACTAGCAGCAAAGAAGGCTAATCTCTTTCACAAATTCAATTTTTGTTTATTTTCAGCCCTAAATTCTCTTCCTCCTACCTCCCCTTCTTCCTCATTGAGAAAGCAAGAAAAACAGAATTCCATATTACTAACATATATTTGAGCAAAATTAATTTCTGCTTTAGCCATATATGTGTATGTATGTAGGTATGTACATATGTACGTATGTATGTATGTGTGTATGTGCATATATATATATATATAAATATACCTGTATCCTGAATTCATCTATCTGGAGATGAGTAGCATATTTCATCTGAAGTGTTTTGGAATTGAGTTGGTCCTTGTGTTAATAAGAATTCCTAAGTCTTTCAAAGTTGTTTGTCTTTACAACATTGTTATTATTGTACAAATTATTCTCTTGGTTCTGTTCACTTCACTTTGCATCAGTTTATAGAAGTCTTCTCTGCAACCATCCCAGAAAAAGCTAGTCCCTTCAAATATTTTTAATCTGACTTCTGGTTTCATCACTTAGCCGAAACGACTCATGTCATGTCCATAGTGTTGCTTCATTCATTTTCTTGAAATGTTGTGAATTCTTAGTAAAAGACACACATATCCAAATGGAAGCACAACACTGACATTCAAAACCAAAGAGAAATGCTTGGAAGTGTAGACTCCCTTTGGGGATTGGCAGGACTCCTTTCCATTAGCAAAAACAATGGCAACCAGAACACCCAATTTATCCCCCTCTCACCCAAGGGCAAAAGCAAGCTTAATACTCTGGCTAAAACAGATGGTGGCCAGAGCAAGGCCAGTTGATATTATCTCTACCCAAAACTATCTCTAGATAGTATAGGGCCCCAGGGCAAAACATAGGATAGACTACCTCCCAAATATTTTCATCACAATGAAATTAATAACAACAATAATAATGATAATTAACATTTATATAGTGCCTACTTATTATCTTAATTGCCAAACCAGCTGGCTTTTTCTCAGTCCTCCTACTTCTTGAAATCTCTGTAGTATTTAACACTATTGACTATCCCTCCCTAGATACTCATTCTTCCCTGAGTTTTCATGACACTGCACTCTTCCTAACTGTCCACCTACCTGTCTGGCCACTCTTTTTCAGTTTCCTTTGCTTTGGGATGTCCCATCCCTTATGCAAGATTGTGCCCCAAGTCTCTGATTTGGACTCTCCTCCCTTTTTTCTCCATACTCTCTTGGTGATTTAATCAGTTTTCATGGTCATCATCTCTGTGAAGACAACTACTATATTTACACATCCAGTCCTAGTACGTCTTCTGAGCTCTAGTCCCATGTCATGAACTATATAGTAAGTATTTCAAATTGAATGTTCTATAGGCATCTCACACTCAACATGTCCAAAACAGGACTCATTATCTTTCCCCCAAAAAACCCTTTCCTTTTCCTAACTTCTCTATTTTTTTGAGGGTTTTTCCATTGACCTGAGTCACTCAGGTTTACAAGCATAATGTTATTTTTGACTCTTCCTTCTTCCTCACCCTTCATACCCAATCAGTTGCCAAGTCTCTCCTTTTTTCTATTCACACAGTCACTCTCTTGGTTCAGTTCATCATCTCTTTTTGCCTAGACTATTACAATAACCTCCTAATTTGTCTCCCACAACTAGGTTCTACTCTTATATTCCCAGCACTTAGCATAGTACTTACACAGTAAGTAGTTAGTAAGTGCTCTATCTATCTGTCTATCTATCTATCCATTCATCCACCTTCTACCAATTTTTCCACCACACATCTACCAAACTGATATACCTAAAGTATAGACCTGACCATCTCATGCCCTCTGATGAAGAAACTCCACTGTCTCCTTCTTTGTTATATAAATTCTTCCTTAATGCCTGACTCTAGACCTTTTGGGACTTATTGCATTTGACCCTTCTTCATACACTCTACATACAAGCCAAGCTGGCCCGCTTACTGTTCCTCCTACACAACATTCCATCCTTCATCTCTCTGCCTTTACGTAAGCCTGGAATGTATTTTCTCCTCACTTCTGCCTCACGGAATCCCTGGATTTCTTCAAGGTTCACCTCAGGTGCCACTTCCTAATAAGAGACTTATCTTGAAAATTACTTTATATCTATTTCACCTCTTATTTTATTTGTATATTTTCTCCAGTAGAATGTAAGACCCTTGAGGGCAGGAATAGCTTCATTTTTGTCTTTATATTCCCAGAACCTAGCAGTTTTTGGCATATAGTAGGTACTTCAATATTTGTTTTCTCTGAATTGAAAAGATGTCCTACCAACTTGATGGGTCATTGTGAGGCCCAAATGAAATCATAGTCGAGAAAGCAAGTTAAAAAGTGTGCTTTAGGGGGCAGCTAGGTGGCATAATGGATAGAGCACTGGCCCTGAAGTCAGGAGGACCTGAGTTCAAATCCGGCCTCAGACCAAATACTTGACACTTACTAGCTGTGTAATCCTGGGCAAGTCACTTAACCCCAATTGCCTAAAAAAAAATTTTAAATTTTTTTAAATTAAAAAAATAAAAATAAAGAAAAAAGCAAAAAATAAAAAATGTAAAAAAAAAGTGTGCTTTTAACATTGTAACAACAATGTAACAATGTAACAACAACAGTTTAACAAGTGTAAACTTGGGAAGGCATTATAATGATTGGGGCAGCTAGGTGGTGCAGTGGATAGAGCACTGGGTCTGAAGTCAGAAAGACCAGAGTTCAAATATGACCTTAGACATTTACTAGCTGTGTGACCCTGGGCAAGTCACTTAACTCTTGCCTGCATAAAATTGAAGAAAGAAATGGCAAACCACTCCAATGTGTTTGCCAAGAAAAGTCCATGTACTGTATTAAAAATGCTAAAAGACATGACATCAGAAGATGAACCTTTCAAATCAGAAAGGTCTGGGTGCTTTATGGTCCACAGGATCATGAAGAGTTGGATATGACTCAATAACAACAATAATTATAATGATTGAGTCTCTCTTCCCCCAACCTAGGTGTCATTCCTTATGGGATTAGCTAGTCATTATCTGGGAATTATAGCGAGCCTGAAGGGAGAGGAAAGTTTGGATAAGAAAGAGTGGGGGACAAACCAGACGGGTCTGGAGTCTGGGAGGAGGGTGCCCAGGAAGAGTAAACAAATAGGCTATATCAGTGAGATGCTATAAGTTGGAGACAAGGGGCTGGGCAGCTTACAGGTAGCAACAACATGATGACCCAAGGAGATAGCTCATAGTAGGTACTTAATAAATACTTATCAAATGAATGAATTAGTGACAGTATAGGCACCCAAAGGTAGAGGATGCTGAAAAAAGAATGGAGAACCACTTTCTCAAGGTCCTGCCCATACCATGAAGAAAAGTTCTTAGCACAGCGCCAGGTAGAGTAGACACTTAATAAATGTTTATTGATTCATTGGTTGAAGAAACATGTCAAAACTCAAAGTCAAGCATCCCAGTAAGTATGCAGGATTGCCAGGAAATCATTCGTTCGTTCAGTGAACAAACCTATTATGGGCAAGACACTGCACTGGGCTTTGTAGAACACACACAGACATAGACACAGAGAAACACACACACACACATAAAACCACGTATTTTATACATTTTATATATATATATAATATATGTATATACATACATATATACATATATATATGGTGTCCCAAAAGTCTAAGTGCAATCTTGAGCTTATTAAAGCTTTAAATTGCACTAAGATTTTTGGGACAATAAATAGCACTGGAGATAGATATAGAATTAGAGATTAGTCTATATACAGGTATAACCTAAGAATTATAATCCTAGATTTCTTAGAATTGGCTATCCAATGCAACCCTTTCCTCAAGCACGAATCCCCTCTGTAGCATCCCTGGTACATGGTCAACCAGCCTTTACTTGAAGATCTCTGGTGACCAGAAGCTCATTTCCTCATGAGACAACTTTTGAATAAAACATGGCCCTGGCTTCTGGAGGAGCTTATAAACTAATAGAACCCTGGCTCCCTTTATTCCTTCTGGGGAAAGTTGGGGAAGGTAGAAGCTGACTCAAGAACGATCATTTGCGTCTGTATCTTCTAGGTTCAGAACAAGGAGACCGGGGTCTTGGCTGCAGCCAAAGTGATTGAGACTCAGAGTGAGGAGGAGCTGGAGGATTACATAATGGAAATTGACATCTTGGCTGGCTGTGACCATCCACACATTGTTCAACTACTGGATGCCCTCTATTGGGAAGGCAAACTGTGGGTAAGTTGGTGGGGCTAATAAGGACTAAGCCATGCACAGCTGTATATCCTTAGAGCATCTCTATTGTTTTAACATTTAGCTTGTTCATGGACTGTACATAGTCAGGTTAATGGGGGCATCCCCATAATAGACTAGCTTATAGTCCTGGTTCTGTCCTTGCCTTTGCCGTGTGATGCAAGCCATCATATGATATCCACACTCTCTGTGCCTCTGTGAAGTGGAGGAAGATAAATTCCTTGGCGAAAAGTATAATGGAGATGGAAAAGGCCATGATGGTGGTTACTGTCCACAGCCCCAGGCCTCTGACGCTGTTCAGCTAAAACACTCAAAGCTTGGAGCCACGAGAAAGTGATAGGATCAAGCAGGGGTCATTTTGATATTTGTTGGCCTGTATTAAGCTTGAATTCCACTATTTAAATTATAACAAAGTAGTTTCTTGAATTCCACCTAATTGACAAAGCCTGGAGTTGTTAAGACATAGCAAAATTTCTTTATCATTCTCATAGTCCACTAAAGAGAGAAGTGTGGGATGGTTGTTCTCTTTATCCAAAAGTATTGCTGAATCACAGGAATCGTGGAGCAGAAGAAAATGAACCCAAGACACAATCCCTGACCTCAAATTACTAAATTCCAGGGGCCCAACTAAGAGTTTCCTAGATTAAAGGAAAGGAATAGGTCTTCATTAGGCTGTGGTCTTGGATTCAAAACATCACCTCTTTCTAAATTATCATACTTTGTCAACAGTGTAAAGTTCAAGAAACAACTTTAATATAATGTAAGTAGGCTTGGAGTACAAACCTAATACAGGTCAACAAATTTCAAGTACACAGCATAGCTGTGTCCAATTTTGTCCAATTTAGGGGATTTGTCTTCTTCAGTAACACACTGAGACACAGGCCCCAGCAAGACAGAGATGTTCTTGCTCTAAAAAGGTTGTTAGAGTAGAAAATCTGAGGAAAAGTTCTGAGCATGACCTATTTATTAGAAAGGTCAGCAATTACCAATAAATGGGATCAATTGCCTTTCTTGATGACCAAAGACCCTGAATGAAGGCCAACAGGGTCTTTTAACAAAATGGCAGAGCAAAATTTTGAGTAACATAGGTGTGGCTTCTTCCGATTGGCTATCAATGAATTGAGAACTGAGATTACATCATTTGGACCTCCCCTTCTGAATCCCCCTTAACCACAGCCAGGACACATGATTCTAGTCACAAGACAAAGCTTCTCAGGCCATGGGAGTAGTCTTCAGGCAATGTAAGTATAATAGTTTAAGGGTAACTAAGTGGTATAGTGGATACAGTGTAGGGCCTGGAGTTAGGAATACTCATCTTCCTGAATTCAAATCTGGCCTCAGACACTTACTAGCTGTGTGACCTTGGGCAAGTCGCTTAACCCTGTTTGCCTCAGTTTCCTCATCTATAAAATGAGCAGGAGAAGGAAACAGCAAACCACTCCAGTATCTTTGCCAAGAAAACCCCAAACGGGGTCAAAAGGGTCAGACATGACTCAACAACAATCGTTTAAATTTAAATTCATGAGATTTGGCCTTTTAGATTAATCAAGTTTCTCTGGAAAGTGGGTAATGAGTGGGGGTACAAAGGTAGAAGTGACTATAAGATGAAAGCTTGGCCTTTAGGCAAGTTCCTCTGGGATGTGGGTGTTGGGTGGAGTTTACAAGGGGAAGGCACCTCAAAATGTTAAATCTGGCTTGATTAAGTCTTAGCAAAATAGAATTAAAGTCAATTTTCAATTTTACAGGGTTGAGAGGAAGAGAGACATAGACAGGGGCACCTGGGTTCTTTACCAGCAAACCTTGGATTAGGGGTGACTATAAATGCCAGAAATCAGTAGATGTTTAAAGTAGAGTAAAAGCTGTAAACCAGAGAGTCATGACAAGGGGCAGGAAATCTCTCTGGTTACCTGTGGTCACAAACAGCAAAGAAACTGGAAAGAAGCCACCAAGACTGACAAGGTGAGTTGGAGTAACATGACTGAAGAAGGCAAGTAAGTACTAGGAATCCAGGTAGTCAGGTAGGTCAAAATTCAGCAACAGCAATCAGATCCTATGAGATCCTAAGGGACTGTTTGTTTTCACCAAAGGCTGTTATCCTTCTTTCAGGAAGTGATCACAGCAGGTTGGAGAGCAAGCTACTTTGCTTGCAAGTGTCCTTTGATCTATGCTGGGGCTGGAGCTAGTTCTAAAGAGAAGCTTTTACACTTAAGACTTTCCTCAGTTCTGGATTTCCTGTGCCCTGTCCCCCTCCCCTTCATCTGGCCCCAGTCCACTCCTTAGCTCCCTCTCTTTGCTTCCCTGGATAGAAGCTGCAAGGTCCTTTCTAGCTAGAACAGATCCTCCAAACTGGGTGCTTCCTCTCATGGACTCATGCTTTGTTTCCTAGCTGTTCTGCTCTGTCTCACTTGGCTTCTGGCCTAAATTTCTGGCTCACACTTCTCTCTCCACCCTGCTTCGATTAATCTTCCTCCTTTCTGTGTCCTGACTCTCATCATACATGATCAAGAATAATTTCTTTTGCCAGTTATTTAATTTGTTGGGTAGCGTGAATTCACATTTGCAAAGCACAAAGGGCTTACTTAACATATGGGGAAGAAAGGGGATGGGGGAATAATGATTCATATTTATAGAAATAGGTCATATAAGTAATCTTGTCCCCATTTTACAGATGAGGGAACTGAGGTTCAGAGAGGTTAAATGACCCCCACACACACACAGTCACACAACTAGAAATGCCAAGACTCTAACTGCTAACCCTCAAGTCTTACTTATTTACTATCTGTGTGACCCTAGACAAGTCACTTAACTTCTGTTTGCCTCAGTTTATTCAACTGTAAAATGGGGATAATAACAGTATCTACTTCATAGGATTGTTGTGAGGATCAAATGAGATAATATTTGGAGGGATGAAAGGCACTTAACAGACTGGTTGGCACACTGTAGGCACTATATAAATGCTTATTACCTTCTCCTTCCCCTTAAGTGACACACCCATGATCACACAGCTAGAAGAGCCAGGACCCAAACTTCTCACTCTCAAGTCCAATGCTCTTTCCACCTTCCAACCTTGATCTTTTTGAAGATGGATTCTGTCATTTCTAAACTTTCTATCTCCCCCAACACCTAACAGCGCTCAGCAGAAAGTGGACACTTAAGTCTTTGGTGGATCATTCATTAGCAAGGAGAAGCAGTAGGGAATAACAGAGAGAGTGCTGGACTTGGAGTCAGAAAGACCCCAGAGCCTCTGATACTTGCTGGGCAGTCACTTAATCTCTATGAGACTCAGGCAACACCTTGGGGCTGTGTGGTAACTATATTGTGGTCTGCAACATTTGGGTGCGTAGATATATTCACATGTGTGCGTGTGTCCACAAGTACCATATATGTGGGGATGTATGGGGTGAGATTGGGAGATGTATTTGAAGAGTGGTTATGTGTGGAGAGGTCATTGGGTCATTCATTTAGAGCTGGGAGGGAACTTAGAGACCAGAGTCTAATCCCCTCATTGTACAGGAGTAGATAGCAGAGATGGAATTTAAACAGAAGTCTTCTGACTGGTGTATGTGGTGGGGTGTGTAGGTATATGTGAGAGGGGTATATGTGAGGGGTATATATATGGGTCAGGTATATGCTGAGGTAGAGGATGTAGGACCAGACAGATTCCATAAGACATCTGACTCTTTCTTCCTCATCTCTTCGGCCCTCAGATCCTCATTGAGTTTTGCCCTGGAGGTGCTGTGGATGCCATCATTCTGGGTAAGTATATTCTAGAGCTACCACTAAGTCACAGCCTAGTTGTCCATAACTCTGAGGATGCAGCCCTTGAAAGGTGCCTTTCCCCCAAGATATCACATCTTACCAAAATATTTCATCCCCATTACACAGAAAGGAAAGTTAAGACCCGAGCTGTGAAACAGGGCCTCTGGGTCCTCCACACTCCCCATTATCTTGGAATCAAGAAGACCTATGTTTGAATCCTGCCTTGAATGCTTATTAGCTATATCATTCTGGGCAAATGATTTAACCTCTTAGCCTCAATTTCTTCATCTGTGAACTGGGAATAATAATAGATAACATCTACTTCCAAGGGCCATTGTGAGGATTAAATGAGATAACACATGTAAAGGGCTTTGCAAACCTTAAAGCACACTATAGGATGGACCAAAATGCTCTTGGAACACTCTGTATAAATGCTGAAATGGTAAGGATGAAGATGATGATGATGGAGCTTGCAGGGCTGAGTCCAGGGTCTCACTCTCTCTCTCATCCTTGCAGAGCTGGAGAAAGGGTTGACAGAAGTGCAGATCCAAGTAGTCTGTAAGCAGATGTTGCAGGCTCTGGAATATCTGCATGGATCCAAGATCATTCATCGGGACCTCAAGGCTGGGAACGTCCTGCTGTCTTCTGAAGGTTATGTCAAACTTGGTGAGTAAAACCCTGAGCCACCCCACCCAAATCCTCCCCCAACAAGCCCTGCTCCCTTACAACCCTTTCTGAAAATACCCATTCCTGGACCATTTCCCCACTCCCCACCTGGCCAAGAGAACTATCTTTTCCCTGCTATACAAGTGTGCCCATATACCCTTGTATTCACTCCCAATGCACCACACATTGCAAATCTGCACATACTAATCTTCACATCCCCCAAATATTTAACCTACAAAAGCCTTTCAGATCCCTCATATGCTTACATACCTCCTGAACTACCTCATAATAATACCAATGATAATGATAATAATAGCTGACACAATTTAAGAAGTTGAAAGTACTTAATATGCAATTACAAAATTTGAACCTCTAAACAACTATGTGAGGTGTAGGCTACAGATATTATTATGCCCATTTTACAGATGGGGAAACAGGTCCAGGGAAGTTGTGACTTGCCTATGGTCATATATCTAGTAGTGTCAGAAGAGTGATTTGAGCCCAGGTCTTCCTGATTTCAGATCCAACACATTTTCTACTCTGGTAGTTGGTACCATGTGGTAATTGATCAACAAGTCTAATTCCAGTCTGAATCTCCTTTTATCCCTTAAATAATTGTACCTTGCCCATCTTTAGTGGTTAGTAAATAGTTATGGAATGAATAATTCATGTAATGCCCCACACATGCACCCACATACCACCACTTCACAGTGTGCCCACAGATACATGTGGACCCCATGGATAGAGAACAGGGTACATCCTTCCTTAGAGATAGGAAAATATGGGTTCAAATCCTGTCTCTGGCACATCTTGGCTATGTAACCTTGAGCAAGTCACTTAATCTCTTAGTGTTCTGTAGGCAACTCTCCAAGACTATAAGCAGCAGAAAAGGTGCTAACTTGTATTGGTAAAGAAGGTTTCCTCATGTGGGAGGTTCCCATGCCAATTAAACTAAGCTAGGTCCAGTCCTTATCCCTAGCCTAGATACCCTGGACATAACCATTACAGGAAGCAAGATGGTATAGTGGATAAGGACTCTAAGACAGCAGTGAGGAAGATCTGGGTTCAAATTCTACCTCTAACATTTATTAGCTGTGTGACACTGGGCAAGTCACTTAACCTCATCTGCCTTAGGAAATTCACCAAGATTTATCTACTATCATACTACTATTACTAGCTATATAACCAATATTTATATGTCACTTTAAGGTTTGCAAAGTGCTTTCTTTACATATATTACCTCATTTGATCCTCACAACAATCCTTTAAGGTAGGCACCATTATTATCCCTATTTTACAGATGGGGAAAACTGAGACCAAGGGATTAAGTGATTTGTCTAGTGTCAAATAGCTAGTTAGTGTCTAATATAGGATTTGACTACCAAGTCTGATGTTCTATCCACTGTACCACCTAGCTGCCCAGCTAAATCACAAATGGGATATAATCTGTATTGGTAGAGGGAGAGCCCATATGAGAAATCTCCCAAGCAGACGAAACCATAGATCCTTTATGTATTTGTGTATAAACACACACACACACACACACACACACACACACCTGTCACTGTTCCCCACCCAACAAGTAACCAGCGCCCTGCCATGTGTACTACTCTTTGTCACACATATCACCCCAAATATACCTTCCTGCTGATAAGGGACCAAAACGAAGCAATGTTTGATTGGTTGATGTGAGGGAGTGAAAACTCTTCCCTGATCCCACTGGGATTCCAGTTTCCCCTCCCTTCTCCCTACTCTCTTCTCATATCAACAAACCCACTCCCTGGTCAGGCTCAATCACTTTCATTAAGAAAGCTCACTGCCACTGACTGACTCATACAAAAGCTGTCCATGTTACTCCACCGCACTCTAGCATCCACTCAATGCTCACAAGCCGTGCTCCACGCCCCAGACAGGGCTTGCCCACACACGGGCTTGTGACAGTCAACACAGCTGTGCGGGCATGTGACATCATCCTGGTTCTGCCCCAGACATGGCCTAGAGACTGATCATAAGGTGACTACTGCAATTCTGTAGGCACCTCTGGAGGAGGAGACAACAGACGTGCACAGCACTGTGGCGGGCCCTTTACACTGCTCCACATGGGGGAATAGAAAGAGCCCCAGACTTGGAGTCTTATCTCAGCTTTGCTGCGTGACATTAGACAAGTTCCTTCCTCTCAGTGCGCCTTAGTCAGGCTGAAGTACAGGGGACCTAAAGAGGAACAGTAGAAGACGGCAGGAAAGGGTATTGAATGCCTAGCTAAGGAGTTTGGATTTTGTCCTGCAGGCAGCTGGAGCCGTTGAAGAGATAGGAGGAGAATGATCAAAAGAGTGTTTTAATAAATGCATTTGACAGTACCTGCAAGATGAAAAAGAGACCAGAGGCAGGAAGATGCGTTAGGAGACTATCGCAATAAGGTTGTGTAGGAGATAATAAGAATCTAAACTAAGGTAGGGGCGGAAGGAGGGACAGTACTTGGTCACTGATTAAATGTGGTGAGTCAAGGAGATAAATGACTGTTTATATATAAATCTGTTACATAATCTCAACTGGTCCTTCACCACAGCAAGGCAATCCTCATACATCTCCCTAATCATTTTGCTATCCCTCTTACAAAAGAGGTTATTCCAAACCTTTCCATACTTCCTCAGACCTCTCATGGCACCACATCCTCTCAATCTCAGCCCAGGACCTTGTCTCGTATGTCACACACACACACACACACACACACACACACACACACACACACACACAAAGGAAGCTAAGTGTTCCCTCTTTGCAAGTCTAGAAATTATCATTGGGTCCAACACAAACCCATGCCATCGAACTTTCACTAGGGCCAGGGGTGGAAAATCCACGACCTCGAGGCCACTTGTGGCCTTCTAGGTCCTTGGGTGTGGCCTTTTGACTAAGTCTAAGTTTTACAGAACAAATCTTTTTATTAAGGGGATTTGTTCTGTGAAGTTTGGATTCAGTCAAAGGGCTGCACTTGAGGACCTAGAGGGCCACATGGGGCCTTGAGGCCCTGCAGGTTCCCCACCCCTGAACTAAGTTACCTTTGAAATGTTATCCTTTCATTTGTCTGTGATTAGTTCCTTCTCAAATGTCTCATAGTAACTGTTCCAGACCCTTCCTTCTCAAGTTCCCAATTCCATTCACACTCATTTTCTCCAACAAATAATATCTTTGCCTTCTTTACTGGGGATATCTGTTGTGAGATTCCTTATCTCTCCTACTCTATACCTCTTAAACCTTCATTTGTCCTCACACATTATCTCCTCTCCATTGTCATCAAAGGAAGTGGCATTCCTCTTTGCCAAGGTTAACCTTCTCTACTAATAACTTTCCCAGCTCCTTTGACACCTTTTCCTATCAATCATCTCCTCTCTCATCTTCAGTTTTCCCTCTCTACTATTTCCTTCTTTGCCTACAAAACGCTCTTTAAAAAATTAAATAGGGGCAGCTAGGTGCAGTGGATAGAGCACCAGTCCTGGAGTCAGGAGGACCTGAGCTCAAATGCAGCCTCAGACATATTACACTCATTAGCTGTGTGCAAGTCACTTGCCCAATTGCCTCACCAAAAAAATAAATAAATAAATAATGAAAATTAAATACTCCTCCCTTGATCATATCACCTCCTCTCACAATGCTTTTATCTCTCCTCCTATTTACTGCTAAACTTTTAGATAGTAGTCTACATTTGCTACATCTCACCACCCCCTCATTCCTCAATTCCTGAATTATGACCTTTTTGTCCTTATCACACTAATGAAACTGCCATTTCCAAAAACACCAGTGACCTCTCAATTGTATAATCCAATGGCCTTTTCTCAATTGTCATCTTCCTTGAACTTTCTGCAACATCTGACATTATTAACTACCCTGTTTTCTTAATAATCTCTCTTCTTCTGTATTTTTGTCATGTTTCTTCAATTTACGGCCATTCTTTTAAAATTTCTCTTGCTATACCATCTTCTTTGTTCTAGGTGGAGGTGAAATCGAAGGCTCTGTGTTTTCTTGCTCTAAAATATCTTCCTTGGTCATTTCAACTCCTCCCCTGGCTCCAATTATCCTCTCTGTTCAGATGACTCCCAAACTGACATATCCAGGCCTGATCTCTCATCTAGTTCCAGGCCTACATTTCTGACAACCTTCTCTCAAATGTACAACTGGCATTTTAAACTCCACATGTCCAATATTAAACTCATCATCATCCCCTGTAGATCCTTTCCCTCCTCCCAAACTCTCCATTTCTGTTGAGAACCATCATCTTCCCAGATACCCAGGCTTAAAGCCTTGGAGTCATCGTTGACTCTTCCCCCTTCCTCACCTCTGTCTTCCTCATCTGGTAGCAAGAACCACCAAATCCCAATGATTTTACCTTCATCATGTCTCTATTATCTATACCTTTCTTTCTTTGAACTCACTAGCTGTGAGACTGTGGGCAAGTCACTTAACCCCAATTGCCTCACCAAAAAAACAAAAAAAAAAATAAAAATTCAATACTCCCTTAATCATATCACCTCCTCACGCAACGCTCAACTACTGCCATCCTAGTTCATCATCTCTTGCCTCTAGTATTATAATAGACTCCTAACTGTTCCTCTCCCTACCTCCTTCTTCTCCCCATGCTAACCCACGCCTCACACACCTGCCAAAATATTCTTTCTAGGAAAGAGTTCTGCCTCTGTCACTCCCCACCTTAGAAATCTGCAGTGGCTCCCTATATAGTCAGACTTTTGTAAGTACCTTAAGGGAGGGATTATGTTCTTTTTCTTATATTTAGTAGGATGCCTTGCATAGGTCAAACATAGTAGGCAGTTAACAATTGTTTAATTGTTGAAGAGAAATAGGAAAGTCCAAAGGTCTGTAGGTTTGCTGGCAAAGATAAATAAATTTGTGAGTAAATATCCAAGGCTATCTAGAGACCCACTCTATGGGGGTTGGGGGAGAGATAGCAAATTTCTGTTCTTAGTCCCTCACTTTACCTCCTCCATCTCTTTCCTTGAGACAGCTGATTTTGGAGTGTCAGCTAAGAATTCCCGCACCTTGCAGCGAAGAGCTTCCTTCATCGGGACACCGTACTGGTACAGCTAGGGGTCCCAGGGGGCTGGACGAGGTGCCCAACTTCCAAGGGAGCCCATGGCTCCCACTCAGGGTTGGGGTGAGGTGGGAGGTGGCTGAGCTTTGGGTATCAATCTTTAGAACACAGAGGGATCCACTAGCTCTTACCTTTGGATTCTGGCCTCTTAGGGAGGAAGGGGGTAGGATAGATAGTTGAGAGCGCAATTGGCAAAAAGAATCCTCCTGGGTAAAGAGATGGCCATGGCCCACATAGTGATCTGAAAAGGTGCACAGGATGTTGGGTGGAGTTCATGCGATAGCCAAATCCGAGGGCTAGGTGGAGAATCAAGAAAAGAAGTCCAGATGGCTAGTTTCAAGAACAGGAGACTCAGCAGAGAGCCATTGAGCCTGTACCACAAAAGGGGCATTGATGAGATCACAGTTCATCTCATAAAGCTCCTTCCCCATGTCCTCTATCCTGTAAACAATATGCTTTTTTTAAAAAAAAAAATACTGATATATTTTATTTTAACATAACCCTCATTTCCAGATACTGCCCTACCCCTTCCTCTACCCTACTAAGCTAAATCTTTGATTGTGTGATGAAGACCGAAAAATAAAGGGGAGGGGGAGGAGCAGATCAGCAAAACCAATAACCACTTCAGTTGTGCCTGACAATATGCATCCAATATTCTTCACCCCTATTCCCCCATCTCTTCAAAGAGGAGAAAGAGAGAGATGTGTTTTTCAACTCTTCTTCTTGGTCATTCAGTTTGTTTCCCTTCTGGGCAATGTTGTTTTATGGTGGGTCCTCAGTATCCTGCTGTGGATCTTAGGCACATAGAAATCAGGCTGCAAGGGCTCTCAGAGGCCACTGGGAGTCAGAGGACCTGGGTTCAAATCCTGTGTGACCTTTGAGTGAATTCCTTCTCCTCTCTGGGCCTCAGTTTCCTTTTTGGCAACATGACAGGTTTGGACTAAATAACATCAGGTCCTTCTCACCCAAGGTCAATGATCCTAAGGTCTTCCTCCCTTGATTAGCCTTTTGGGAAGGATAGATTATTTCTTCCAGCTTGCCCCTCCAAAATCAGACTTTCCTCAGGGACCTCCAGCAAAGAGTACTTAAGGAAAAGGATGGGGCATCCCAATACATCAGTCCACTGACCTAGCTGACTACCATGCCCTCCAATCTTAGCCTCTTGGTTTCTCTTTTCTTGGCAACTTAAGGGCAGAGGGAAGGGGTCCAAGTGGGACAAGTATGATGAACCCTTGTTTCTGGCTATAGGATGGCACCCGAGGTCATCCAGTGTGAGACGTCCAAGGAGGCTCCCTATGACTACAAGGCTGACATCTGGTCCCTGGGGATCACACTGATAGAGATGGCTGAAATGGAGCCCCCCCATCATGAGCTGAACCCCATGAGGGTGTTGTTAAGGATCCACAAGTCCCCACCACCCACTCTGCGCTACCCTGATCAATGGCAAGTCCTCCCCTCCCCTTCTCTCCCCTCTCATCATAACAGGGGCAGTGCTGAGAAAAAAAAAACAGGCCAGATTGGAAGTGGTCAGAGCCTAGAGAACGAATCGACCTGGGGAAGTGCCAGTGCCAAGCAGTAAGGGACGATGTAGGCAGTCACATAGGCAAAATGGTGCAGGGATGAGGGAGAGGAGGCAGCATGCGGCAGGCAATCACAGTGAGATGGTGCTTGGGAGGTTTTGCATCACATAGCAGGGACCTAACTATCGTTATTAGAGTTTAAGGACAGAATTTTAGAATCTGAAAGAATCTGGAGGGGAAGAAAGTGTCTGCAGACCTGACCTGGTCATCCTACTCCAGTGAGTAGATGGCACAACCAGAGGCATAGGGATGGGGGCCTCCCTAAGTTACAGACTATCCTTTGACGCACTCCAAGTTTGTGCAGTTCTCAAGGATACAAATAGTAGAGATGATGGGAGTTCATTCAATACTTGTTCACTGACTGAAGAAACAAGTCCCTTGGGAAGGCCTCTGTGACTGTTCTTCTACTAGGGCAGATCTTCCCTGCTTGGTGCTCCTGCTGGTCTAGGAGCCCTGGTCTGGACCATGGACCTTTCCTGCCATCCTTGTAGGTTCACCAGGCTCAGAATGTGGAAGACCAAGAGGCTTCTCCCCTTCCTGTTCAATTCATTTTGATTCAAATCAGCAACAATTTTTTGGATTTGAAGTCAAAAAATCTGAATTTGAATTCCAGCTCTGAGGGAGCTGGGGCAATTCACTTTACCTCTGCAGAACTTGGTTTTCTTATCTATAGGCCAGAAAGTCGGACTAGGGGACCTCCAACTTCTGTTCTATCTCAAGATACACTTATTATCTCATGGTCCTTTTAAGAGATTACTGGGTGCAGAGCATTATAGCTAGACAGGCACATGAGGCAGGGATGATGGGTTAGTGAAGAGATATAATTGATCCCTGTCCTCAGATCTAATAGGGGGATGTTGTAGCACATACCCAGAAAAGTGCTGTGTGAGGTCCAAGGTGGGGAGAGGTCACTATCTGCTGGTGCTTTCAGGGAAGACTTCTTTAAAAAGGTGGCATTTGGGGTGGTCTAGGGCACTGGTCCCAGTCTTTTCTCTCAATACATACTGTTCACAGTATTCACTATTAAAAATCAAAGTTCACTTTGACAGAAGAGTGTCACAGATTTTCCCCTTCCCACTTCAGGGGACTAAGTCTGAAACCCTTGATCCCCTGGAAGAGTGAGGCTGAGAACTAAGACTTTGGTCTTAGAACAAAAAAGATATCACTTCAATTCAACAGTTCAATTCAATCGAGCAACAGACATTTATTTTTTAATATTTTATTTTTTAGAACTAAAAATAATCAAAATTTTTTAAAATTTTTTCCCAATTACATGTCAAAACAATTTTTAAACTTTCAAAAAAAGTTTTAAGTTCTAAATTCTATTCCTCCCTCTCCTCACCCTTCCCTGAGATGATAAGCAATCCAATATAGTTTATATATATGGAATCATGTAAAACATTTCCATATTGGTCATTTTGTATAAGAAGACTCAAATAAAAAAAATGAAAGAAAAAAGAGAAAGAAAGAAAAAAAGTGAACAACAAGCATTTATTAATTTATTTTAAAAATTAATTTATTATCATTTGTTTTATTATTTTGTTATTATTTTTAAATTAATATATTAATTTATTATCTGTATTAAATATATAAGGACAAAAAAAGAAACTATCCTTGCCCTCAAAGAACTTATATAGGGGAGGCAACATGTAGACACAGAAGAATATGTGGAATGTATACAAAATACCAACATTTCTAAAATTCCAACTCTGTGCAAGGCTGTGTCATAGGTACCAGAGACAGCTAGATGACATAGAACACACACTACCTACTCTCATGAGGTTTACTTCTCTCCCTTTTATCACATCTAGAGATCAATATTAGTCAGCTAGGTGACAGAGCATTGGGTCTGAAGTCAAGAAGACCTGGTTCAAATCCAACCTCAGCAGATATGGCATCCTGGGTAGGTCACAACCTCTATTTGCCTCAGCTTCGTCATCTGTAAAATGGGGATAATACATAGCACCTACATCCCAGAGTTGTTGTAAGGATTAAATGAGATAATATTTGTAAAATGTTTAGCATAATACCTGGCACATATTATATAAATATTAGCTATTATTAATATATGTTTATTCCCATGTCTAATGCTTCTTTTTTTCCCTTGGAAAAAGTCATTGATAATAATAGCTAGCATTTATAAGCTGCTTTAAGATTTGCTAAGTTCTTTACATACATTATCTCATTTGATCATAACAACACCAAAAGGTAAGTACCATTATTATCCCCATTTTACAGATGAGAAAACTGGACCAAGAGAGGTTTAGTGACCAGAGTCACACTACTAATAAATGAGTGAGCAGGATTTGAGCTCATCTTCCTGACCTTCAGTACAGTTCTCTATCCAATATGCCACCTAGCTGCCTCACTAAGGATTACATGAGATCTTTAACCATTCATCTGATCTCTATTTCCTGATTGTCCCCTCCACTGTAGAAGAAGGAAGCACAGGCTTTTGTAGGAGTGAAGAAGTCTCTAAGCCCCTTCCATACAGAGGGAAAAACATGGCCTTTCAGTGTACATCAAAAGACAATGAGGGTCAGTGATGATCTCTGGATGTCAAACACTGGGATAAACAAGCCATTTCTTGGATATTCCTTATAGGTCTGAAGAGTTTAAAGACTTCCTGAGGAAATCCTTGGAGAGGGATCCTGATAGCAGATGGTCCGCCTGCCAGCTCCTGCAGGTAAGCAGCCTATCCCCAAGGTGTGACATATACCTCAATATTTCTGCCACCTTCCACTGTCTTCTGTTCAAATGGCCACCATGACAGAGGATCAGTGTTTTACCCAAATGATCTCTTACAATGAAGGGAGATCTGAGTACCAATTAAGTCAATTAACAATTATTTATTAAAAGTGCTTAAGCTATGCCAGGACCAAAGGATACGAAGACACAAAGACACAAACCATCCTAGACCCTCAAGGAGCTTACACTCTATTGAGGAAAATAGCATTCCCAATATCCTCACACATGACCCTCCATCTCCCCATGCTAAACATTTTCACTACTTATCCTTCATGCCTGGTTACATAGACAGCAAGCAGGACTTTAGGAAAATCACTACTCCTCTCCCATCCTCAGTTTCCTCAGCTGTAAAATGAGGACAATAATACTTGTACTATTTATTTCAAGGGATTATTGAAAAGCTATGTAAATTTTTAAAGTACTCTAGACATGTGAACTGTTATGATGTGGAATAAGTAAGTATAATCTTTCTAGCTTTCAAAAAACCTTTGAAAAGGGTTTGTGCCAAAGGATCCTTTTAGTGTATTTTTTTTTTATTATTCATTGGTTACTCATTGAAACTAAAGAGAGCATTTTTTTTGACACAGTGAACCAGCTCTAAGTCAGCTGTAAAGGGCATTTCTTTATCCAACTCCATCCCAGTCCAATACATTTTATCACACCCACCTGTGATATGGATCCTAGCTGCTATCTCATCATTTCTCTCTTGCTTCAGGGCTTTTCTAGAAACCTGGACTTGAATCCATTCTGTATTAAGACTCAAGAGTCCTATGAACTAGCTTTAGCTGAAGCTGCTGCCCAAGAAGCCTTCATAAGGCTAGGCTTCCCAGAAGTTGAAGTGACCTACATGCTAAAAATTATGGCAAGTTATAGTACCAGTGATTGGTTTTGTGCAGTTTCTAAACATCACCCAACCTACCTTGCACCCTAAATACTGACAGTGTTACTATTAACCTCCTTTGGTTGTTGTTCAGTCATTTTTCAGTCGTGTCTAATTCTTCATGAACCCATTTGGGGTTTTCTTGGCAAAGATATGGAGTGGTTTGCCATTTCCTTCACCAGTCCATTTTCCAGATGAGAAACTGAGGCAAACAGGGTTAAGTGACTTGCCAGGGTCACACAGATAGTAAGTGTCTGAGGCCAGATCTGAACTCAGAAAGATGAGTCTTCCTGACTCCAGGTTTGACTGTATCCATTGCTCACCTAGCTGCCTGCAGCAACTTCCTAGGCATCATCAAACATCATTTACACACAGGACCCAGTTCAGCTAAATCCTCTAAACTTAATTCCACACTTACAAAAGATCAGTTACTCACTTTGGTTCTGGTTTGAGTGGAAGGAAAATGCAAAAGGTAACGGAAAGAAGGAAGAATCAGAGTCTATCCCAATCAGGGCCAAAGTCTCCTCCTCCATTTCACTACACAGCCATAAATTCTATCCAAGAAACAATTCTCTGTGTGGTCAGAGAGATGACCCACGAGAAGCCTTCTAGTCCCCTAGAGATCATTGTATTTTGTAACATAGGGGTTTTTTTTGTACCCTTCCCCACCACTGCCACCCTTGCTGGGGAAGAAGCCAATACTAAAGGTTTTCCCTTTGTTCCTTCTCCTTGCCAGCATCCTTTTGTGTCAGAGGTGGAAGACAGCGGACCCCTACGGGAGCTGATTGCAGAAGCTAAGGCAGAAGTCCTGGAGGAGTTTGAGGAAGAAGAGATAGCCTCCTTTTCAGTAAGCCACAGCTGGATGGCATCTGTGTGCCTTTTAGCTGAATTGCTCCTTCCTCTGGAGTGGTTGCCCTGGGAACTACAAGGCCAAGGACATTTCAATTTATCTAGGAAACCCATGGCTCCCTGGAAACCTTCCCACTGGAAACAGTCCAGTTAGGAACTCTGGCCATTGGAGCATGAATAATAAAGAGAAAGCAGAGCCACAATGAACCTTGAAAATGCTGCTTCTTAAACCAGGTTCTCCCAGGAGTGTTTGCATAATAACAGATGCCAGGTACAGAGAGACTTGGGGACACAAAAGTGCCAAATGGACTTTAATATGAGAGCCAGTGTGATCTTGGGCTACATTTTTTATTTTTATTTATTTATTTTTTTAGGCAATTGGGGTTAAGTGACTTGCCCAGGGTCACACAGCTAGTAAGTGTCAAGTGTTTGGTCTGAGACCGCATTTGAACTCAGGTCCTCCTGACTTCAGGGCCAGTGCTCTATCCACTGCGCCACCTAGCTGCCCCAATCCTACATTTTTTAAAAGGAAGTAATATAGCTCCATGTACTCTGCTCCAGTCAGAGCAACACATTCAGATTCAATACAGAGTATTAGATTCAGTTCTGGGTTCAAGACTTTCTTCTTGGAGGACACACATACTGGTTGCGAGTCCCTGGGCAATTCACCTCCCTTCTCAGTACTCTAGGCAAATATCTAAGACTAAAAGTTGCCAGGCAGGTGCCAATCTGCATTGGTATAGAGTGCTCCCTCCCCCAGAGCTCTCTATAGCAGTTGTATTAAATTCAGGGAAAACAGGGGCCATTAAACCATACGTAATGGTCCTGTGGGCTGCATATTGACTTTTAAAGCTACATATTAACATTAGCTATGTTTCATTGTATTTTATTTATTTTGTTAAATGTTTCCCAATTACATTTTAGTCTGGATCAGACTGCACTTAGAAACGATGTGGACTGCATCTGTTCTATACCAATGAAATCAGAGATTCAGTCAAAAAATATATATACTACCTATCTTATATGACCATTGTGAAAAAAAATCGCTCTGTAAACGTTACTGTATCATAAACATATGAATTGGTATTATTAGCCACAATCCCCATGCCTTCCAGATGCTGTTCAAGGGCCAGCACTCTGGGCACAGGATTCTTTAGACAAGAAGTTAATTAAGCTGGCTTCTCTTCCCCTCAGTTTCCTCATCTGTAAAATGAGCTGGAGAGGAAATGGCAAACCACTCCAGTATTTTTGCCAAGAAAGCCCCAAATGGGGTCATGAAGAGTCAGACACAACTGAAAAGACAGAACAGCAGCAAAAATCTCTCCCTAGGATCATAGCCCTTACAGCTAGAAGGGACCGTAGGGATAGTCTAATAGTCCAACTCCCTTATTTTGCAGATAAGGCCAATGAATCTCCAAGAAAGGAAATTACTTGTCCAAAGTCACACAGCTAGTAAGGAGCAGAACAAGGATTCAAACTCAGGTCCTCCTTTTCTAAATCTCATGCTTTTTTAACTCTTTGGTGCCTCTCATAAGGCCAGGTGGAGGAAATAGGCATTTAATATAACACTTACTATGTACTAGACCTCTATGAAGCACTTTTATAAATATTATCTGATTTGATCCTCACAAGAACTCTGAGAGGCAATCGCTGTTATTCTCCCCATTTTGCATTTGGGAAAACCAAGGCAAACAGAGGTTAAGTGACTTACCCAGGATCATAAAGTTAGTAAGTGTCTGAGGCCAGATTTGAATACAGGTCTTTCTGATTCTGCATCCAGAACTCTATAAATTATGCCACCAGCCACCTGAAGATAAAGGTGAAGTGATTTTGGTCACATGAGTGAGTAACATAACTAAGATTTGAACCCACGTCCTCCAACTCCAAATTCAGAGCTCATTCTAAGACAAACTAAGGCAATCTCAGCTCTGTTACCTCCTCGCCTCACTATCAAATCATTTCATGTCATTGAGGCTCAATTTCTGAGTCAGTAAAAGGATGGAAACTGGTTTCCTTCGGTGACTTCTTGGCCCCCTGGAGGCGACTCTGCTAAGCACGGCACCACACTTGAATCGTTTCAAAGATCTGTGGATCGAGCACACACACACACACACACACACACACACACACACACACATTTCTGTGCCCACTGCCAAACACAACCCCTCCTCACCTTTAGTTTCTTGGCTTGCTGAAGCCAGGAAAGCATATCACCTGATGGCTATCCTTCTTCATGCTTTTCTAAGCTGATGGTCCTCAGATGACAGACCAGGTTCTGTTCCGTGTCTTACTCAAAGACTTTCCAAACTGCTAGGGCCTGCCAGAGGTGGTGGTCTACCAGCATAGACCTCAAGAATACATGGCATGGGGGATGGGGGGATGAGCAGCAAAAGATGTACCCACCTCCACAGCACATTGAGGCATTAGACCAGGCTGGAAGGGACCTTAGAGGCCCCAGACTTGTAGCTCGAGAGCTGGAAGGGACCTTAAAAACCATCTAGTCCAACCCTTTCATTTTACAGATGGAGAAACTGAGGCTCAGAGAGAGGTCAAGGGCCTTATTCCAGGTCCCAGAGCTAATAAATGGCAGATTCAAACTGAGGCACTCTGCCTCCCAAACTGGAGCCCTTTTCACTTTACCAAACTTCCTTTGACCTTCACTCAGGTAGGCAGCAATAAGTGAGCCAAGGTCAAAAGCTATGAGCATCTTTTCTACTTTATAAACTTCTAACAAACACAGGCGTTGCATCATAGAATGGCACTCCCACTTCCTCCTGGTGAGGCTGTGTTGTATGTGCCTGATTATTCTCTCTGTCTCTGTCTCTGTCTCTCCTCTACCATTCTCCCCCTCTCCCTTCCTCTCTCCTCCTGCTCTGTCTTTCCTCTCCTCTCTCTTCCCCTTTTTGCTCCCCTTCTCTTCTCCTGTTTGTCATCTTCTTCTTCCTCCTCCTCCTCCTCCTCCTCCTCCTCCTTCTTCTCTCTCTCTCCTGCCCTTCCATCCATCCTAATAAATTAGTTCTCTCTTTCCTTCCTTAAAAGATCTTTACATATTATTCAAGGGCCAGAATTAGCTATAGAAGAAAAAGAGGGCTACCCTATGAATTTCAAGCTGTCCAATTTTGCCAGCAGACAAAACTTAGCTCTCATTGCTGAGTCTCAGGTTTCTATAGTCTTGAGTAGAATTCTGTCCTAATGTTCTAATACCATAAAGTGAGGCAGCCCAGACTGATGTCTTGGATAGGGAGCAGGCTTTAGAGGCAGAAAGACCTACCTCTGAGTCCTCCCTCTGATATTTACTAATTGTGAGACCGTGGGAGAGTCCTTAACCTCTTAGTCCCCCCCCCCCAGGAAACTCTATAAGATGACAATGCTGAACAAATACAGATTTGCATTAGTATCAATAGTCTCCACCAGGAGTGAGTACCCAAAGTGTGACCTTGGGCAAGAAGTAGCAGAGAATGGTTAATAGTCAACAAACATTTATTAAGTGCCTACTAAGCATTATGCTAAGCACTGGAGATGCAAATAAGAAAAAGAAAGAGTCCCTGCCCTCAAGAAGCTTATAATCTAATGGAAGAAGCCAATATAGAAAAGGAAGCTGAAATTGGTGGGGGCGGGGAGGAGATAAGATGTTTATGGAGTTGAAACCAAGCAGAGCAGCGGGTGGGCAACGAAGAATTGGAATTCTGAGCCCTTTATAAAGGAGGCTCCGCTTTTCAGCCCTCAAATCAGAGGAAAGAGTCAACTGAGGGCACTCAAGAAGTATTGAGTACCCATAGTTGGAATAGCAAAAAAGATGCTAGATTTTAAAGTCAAGTGACCTGGGTTCAGATGTCAGCTATGATGCTTATTATGTCTCCATGAGTAAGACATATGAGCATCCTGAGATTCTGTTTTCTCATCTCTAAAATGGAAATAATAATATCTACACTATCTACATCACAGAATCGATATGAGGAGTGTTTTCTCAATCAGTCAACAAGCATTTATGTGCTTGTGCCGGGCACTAAGCTAAGCTCTTGGGATACCAAGAAAGGGGGGAAAACAAACTTGAAGGTGCTAGGGAAATGTGAGCCATTATCATAAATAGACAGTAAGACCTTAACTTTCCTTCTCTCTTTGCCTCTTAGCCAAGTCGAGAACATAAGCACACCTTGTCCAATGATGGCGTTCCTCCCCTAGAGCCAGAGAGACCCTCAAAAGACAGGAAGTTTTCTTTGGAGAAGCCAGAGAGAGGAGACACAGCCAACAAGGGCGTACAGCTCCTACCTACAGCTCTGGCAGTCAAAGGGAATGACTTTAAACTTCAGGCTAGAGAGGAGAATCAAGTAACCCTCCAGGAAAACCCCCAAGGAGATTCTCCAAGCAAGCTAGTTGCCAGTTCCCTTGCTTATTCTCCTAATCCAGTAGGACCTGGGCTCAGCAGGCAGAGCTCCATCGGTCCAAACCAAAGCCTGCTTCGGTCAAGAGCCAGCCGGACTTCCAGTTTGAAGAAGCAGATGAGACGCAAATCTGCACCTATGTTGGTTGCACCCATTGAATCTCAAGGTTCCATGAAGCTTTCCTCCAAAAGCCCTTCAGATGTCTTGAAGCTAATAAGACGAAGGTCATTCTTTGGTGGGTTGAAGTCTCAGGACATTCTTGACCCACCAGCCCAGGGGACTCATGAGCTGTTGGCCACTCAAGGTGGAAAAGACCTTTTGGAAGAGCAGCTTACTTCCCACACTAAGCCTCGGGTCATGCTAGACTCACAGAGTGATGTTGCTCTTCCTACTCCCAGGGCACCCTCCCCTGGGCCAGACACGGTGATGAACTGTGCAATAGATAAGCCACAGGGGTCACAGCTTCTCACAAGCTCCCCAGCGAACCTCACTGAGGAACGAAAGGGACACCTAACAAGAGAAAGAATAACTACTGCTCAAAGTGGGACTTCAAAGATAGAGAGCCGAGAAAATACTGACTCAGGCATCCCGGAGCAAATCTCTCACCCTGCTGCTGCCCACCCTTCCACAGGAGACCAACAGCAGGTTAATCTGAGTCTGGAAGACCCCACACTGACCAATTCTACATCAGGTCTGGAGACTTCAGAGGAGAAGCATGATCTCACAGGAAACCTGGAGATTTCCTCATATGAGAGGATGCCTGTTGGACCACAAGTGTCGAGTGATCCCCTGTCTGATAAAGAAAGGAAAGTCTCATGCAGGCAATGGACTGGGGATGGACAGCTGGAAGGGGCCAAAGCTCAGCACCTGGATGGGATGTTTATGTCTAGTCTTCTCGCAAAAGACGAAAAGTCAGGAGCTGAGTGTGTGATGGAGGCTCTCAATCTCTGCCAGACCAGGACCAGATTCCTGAGCATCCAGGACCCAGGGGCCCTCATTCAGACCAACCTGCCCAATCATACTGAAGAGCTAACAATGGAGGATTCAGGACACTACCCATGCTGTCCTCACGAGTCCTCCAGATCAGGCGACGGACAGGGCTGTGGTACCCAAAATCCAAAGATGCCATTCAATGCAACACACTCTTCATACCGAAAAGAACCCTGCCTCCCAAAGCCAGAGGCAGGGTGTAAAGATTTGCTGCTGAGAGAAACATTTGAGGAAAAAACTGAGGATGCCAAGAAAAACACATCCCCAGACTCAACAGGGAAATCAAAGAGTCTCAGAGGGCAGGGGGCTCCCTCCTTGGGAGGGGAAAATCAAGTAGTGACCACACAGTGTGAGAAGAAAGACACACAGGCAAATTTCTCCAAAGGCGAGAAAGAGATTCCAGGAACAGAGGGTAATGTTGTAGTGACCCCTGTGGAGACCTTTATCCCTAGACCCCCTCAGGGACAAGCCAGAGACCTAGAAGAAGGTCATTGCAAGGAGCCTGCTCCAAACCTGGCTTCAACACCAGAGACCCTGGAGAAGCCAACAGGATCAGGAATCCCTGAGCCCCTGAGGGATAGGAAGAAAGTTAATTTTGCAGAAGGGAGCTTGGAAAACGGATCCACTGGGGAATCACGGAGTGAAGGCACGGTCCAGAAGACTGAGGCAAGACCTTTGGAAAGAAATGACTCAAGAGACATCAGGAACCATGTGACTGATGACAATATGCACAATGCCAGGCCTTCACCAGTTAAAAGTGACATTAGCCAGGTAAGGGATTGGTATAAGGGCTAGATAGAGGGCTTCCAGGAGTGGGCTGGAATAAAAGCCACCTTGCAGATAATCACATGCCTAGGGCTGGTAAATTAACAAGGTAGATTTCACTTTCTTCCCTGTATGTTTTACACTTGGTCCTAGGGGAAAGGACCAACTAAAATATTTGCAAGAGTTATCTACCAGGGGCAGCTAGGTAGCGCAGTGGATAGAGCTCCAGCCTTGAAGTCAAGAGGACCTGAGTTCAAATCCAGCCTCAGACACTTGACAATTACTAGCTGTGTGACCCTGGCCAAGCCACTTAACCCTGAATGCCTCACGAAAAAGAAAAAAAAAGAGTTATCTACCTGCAAAGCTGGAATAGTTTAGAGTCATTGTCCTGCAATGAATTTGGCCCTCAACATCCTATCTTGGTTGGGTGGTGATAGGAGCAGGCCAGAACAAAGGAGGGGGGCTGCCCCCTGGTGGAAGAATTCAGCACTTTCATCATCTTATGTCCCCAGGATGGTAGAGTCAATGGGGATGCAAACCTTACTGTTTTTCTGGCTTCAGGACACCCATTCCTTCAGGAAAACTGTAAAGAAAACACGCAAGTTTGTGGTGGATGGAAAGGAGGTCAGTGTGACGACTTCTAGGCCTGTGCAGGATGCTGACCGGAAAGGAGAGAGCATCCGTTCTGCCCGGTATGAGAAAAGAATCCCCCAGCTCCCTCTCCGAACAGCGACATTCAGAAAAGTGAACCAGCTTCTCTTTGCCAAACCAAGAATGACCCAAAAGGAGTTTCCCATGGGAAGCAGGGCATTTGTCTGGGCTAGAGAACAGGAGTGATAGATTTTGAAATTATTGATTATGTCAACATAGCAGCAGGGGATCACAGGCAGATACAGAGAAGCACAGAAAAGCCAGAGACAGCATGTCAGTCCCCTCAACCATCTGTTGGAACCAGTCCATCTGCCTCATGGCAGAAGGATAGACTAAATGACCATCCCCCCCCCCCGCCCAGGTCCTTTCCAACCTTAAGACTCAGAAAATATCAGAATGAAAAAGCTGCTGTCTCCGCTGTCACAGAATACCACAGGATTTCCTCCTTTATGCAGTTCACTACTGAGGTGTGAAAGGGTTTCCCACAATGGGCTGGTATGGACAAACACATAACCACTTTTATCCTCAGTTCCTAGAAACAAATATAAACAGCTCAGCAGGATATGCCCACATACACACATATGCACGTACAACATTTATTAAATGTTCACTATGTGCTAGGCATTGTACTAAGTGCTGAGGATAGAAATAGAAGAAAACCAGATGGTCCCTTCCAATCAGAATGGCTTTCCTATAATCATCTGCCATTGTTCTTTTTGGTCCCTCCTGTTGACTGGGGAGATATTGTTGGGGAATAGGATTATCACTTAGAGCTGAAAGTTACCTTAGTTGTGTTCTAGTCTAGCTCCCTCTTTCTGCAGATGAAGAAACTGAGGCCACAAGGGAGGTAGATGGGAGAGAAAGTAAGAGTTTGGTAAATAAAAACAAATTAAAATAAATAAAAGTCACATTACCAAAAAAAACAACCCAAAAACCTGAGACTCAGAGAGACTGTGACTCATCCTAAGTTATAGATCTAATAAATGGGATTCACACCTGGGTCCCTGGCCCAAGATCCGGCACACCTGCCCCTCTAGCACAATGCCTCTCCTATGTTGGACAGCCAAGCTTCCTAGGTTCCACCACTGAGTGAATGGTTTTCCTTGGCTTGGCCTCAGTGTTCATACCTGTAAGATGGATCCATCCTCCTACTCCCGAAGTAATGTTTGCAGACATCCTATCATGATTCTGAATGAGCTGCTATTTTTCAGCCGGAAGGAGCTACAGGAGCTCCGGCTCCTTCAGAAGGAAGAGCAGAGGGCCCAGGCTCAGCTAGATCAGAGACTCCACCAGCAGAGGGAACAGATGTTCCGCCACATCGAGCTGGAAATGACGGTAACTATAGTCCCTTGACTTTATGTAGAGCACTGGTTTACACAAGTCAGAAGACCTGGATTAGATCTCATTATTTACCACCTTTATGACTTATTTCAAATACTTTAACCTCTCTGGACCTAAGTCTCCACAGCTATAATACAATGAGGGTGAATGAAATTATCTCAACATCCTATGATCCTTACATCCTTTTTTTCCTTTCTTTTTTTTGGAGGCAATTGAGGTTAAATGACTTGCCCAGGGTCACACAGTTAGTATGTGTCTGAGGCCAGATTTGAACTCAGGTCCTTCTGACTCCAGGGCCAGTTGCTCTATCCACTTCATCACCTAGCTGCCCCTTACATCCCTTTTCCCAAAAGCAGGGCTGTCCCTTGGTGCAGCCTAGGGGTAGGGGAAGTGCTTTGACTTCCCTCTCCCTTCTTTGCTTCCTATCTCTCCCCTCTTCCCCTAGTTTTCTTCACCACTACAAAATAATCTCTCTAAGGCACAGGCCTGACCATGTTGCTCTTCTGCTCAAAAATCTTTCATGGCTCCTTATTGCCTCTACAAAATACAAAATAGATTTCTCTATTCACTAGCTACAAGACTTCTTCAGTCTTTTAAGTCCTTCACCATCTGGCCCTGGCCTTATTTCTTGTTATTCCTCTTTACACTCTGTGCAGCCTGACCAAAGTCGCCTATTTGCTCTTCCCCAAGGTTCACACTCCATGTCCTATCTCTGACCTTCTCTCAAGCTGTCCTCTATGCCTGAATTCACTCCTCTTCCCTCTACCTTAGTCTTCTTTAAGATTCAGCTCAAAGCCACGCACATTGGAAAGTCTTAGGTGAGGTCCTTGGTAACTGATGCTTCCTCACTCCCGTAAGCATCCTTTTACTTATCTGAGTACAGGTTTTAACTCCTCCACCACCACCACCACCAATGGAATGTAAACTCCTGGGCTGCACGGATGATTTCATTTTTCCTTTGGTATTCTTGGTGTCTAGCACAGTGCTTTGCACATAGTAGGATCTTAATAAATGTCTATTGAATGAATGAGGAAATGAGTAAGTGAGTAAATGAAAAAGCATTTATTAAGGGGTTTATTATGTGCTGGTCACTGAGCTAAGCCCTGAGGATACAAATAGAAAAAACAAGATAACCCCTGCCCTCAAGAAGCTGACATTCTAATGGGAGAGCCAAAGGAAAAAAAAATAACCTATGTTGTTTGGGAATCATCTGCGTAGAAATGATCACTGAAGTAGTGGGATGAGATCACCAAGCAAGACTGGATGGAGGGAGAAGAGAAGAGTCCAGGACAAAGCCTTGGGGGAGATTCACAGTTAGTGGGTGTTATCTGGATAAAGAACCCACAAAGGAGACTGAGAAGGGATAGTAAGATAGGTAGGAGAATTAGGAGAGAAAAATGCCAAGAAAATCTAGAGATGAAAAAATATCTAGGACAAGATGGTGATCAACATTTTCAAAGGCTACAGAGAGGTCAAGAAGGATGAAGACTGAGAAACAAACCACCCATACCCCTTCCTCCGTGGATCTTGACCATGATCTCCCATAAATCCTCCACAATGGATCTACCCGATATGCTTTGGGCACAAAGCAGAGTTCTAGCTCCCCCAGGACTCTTGACATTGCATGTAACGCATATTACCAATAGAATACATAGGTAGGCGATCCCTGGATAATCCTTCACTTGCTACATGACCAGCCCACTTTCTTTTCTTGTTTCTCTTTGATGGCTTCTTTTGCACAATTCTTTGCCAGTAATGTGTTACAGCCTACTTTCAGTGTAATCATTTTCCGTGTTTCTTGTATTCATTCCACAGACTGCCAAGCTTTCTGATTCCAAAAGTGCAAAGCCAAATAGGCACCACCCTCCCTATGTCCGTGTCATTCTTGGATAGCTCCTCCAGAATTCATCTTTAAACAAGACTGGACAGAGAATTCTAAAGGCATGATACTGACCAGTTCCCTAAGCTGCATATACTCCGCAGTCAATCTCAATTGATTTTATTCTTTCAGAGAGTAGCCAAACAAATAACCTTTGGATTTCTCTATTCGGTTCTCAGTTTGGTAGCACACATACTAAGACTTCTCTATTCACCAGCTACAATCCCAAAGCCACTTTGAAATGGCTGGCAGCAAGGGTGCTAATGTTTTATTGCAGAAAATGCAAGTACTTCACATAGAATGAGACATACCGTAAATGATATCTGAGAGAGACACAGAAACAGACAGTCAGAATTTAAAACATTTGTAAAGTGCTTTATACATATTTCTCATTTGACTGTCATAACAGCCCTGTGAGTTAGGTACTCTAGGTCACAGGGGCATGGGTTTAGAATTGTCAGGTGCTTTAGAAATTATCTGATCCAACTTCTTCACTTTATAGATGAAGAAAGTAAGGCCCAGGGAAGTGACTTGTCCAAGGTCACAGAGGTGGTACGTGACAGAGGCGGAGATTTGAACCCAGATCCTCTGACTCCAAATCCAGGGTTCCTTCTACCGGACCATGCTTGCCCATATTTTATAGATGACAGAACTGTGACTGAGAGAGTTTAAGTGACTTGCCCAAGCTCGCACAGCTTGGCAGGATTTGAACCCATGTCTTCCTGACTCCAATTTCCACACTCTATCCACCAGTGACAATGGGTTCATGCTGTCTACAGCATAGTCATGATCATCATCACTCACATTTATCTTTTCAAGGTTTACAAAACACTTTCCTTGTAATTGTGTAACAAGATGGGTAATAAAAGTATGATTGTACCCATTTTGCAGATGAGGAAACTGCAAAAAACTGAGGATTTACCTTAGTTATTAATTCATTTTATACTTGCTTTGAAATATAAAGACACAGAATTAGACACACCTACATCCTCAGAATCTCAGGCACTGGCATGCACATTTAGGCACATTCCCTTTCCCTTTAACTTCTCCTTCTTGTGTTATTTGGCCCTCTTGCCTATGATTAGGACATCAGCTGGTCATCACGAGAGGACAGTCCTGGATCACCACAGAAATCCATTTTGGTCTTGCTGAGACCTGACTGTTTCACAGTCTTATTTAAAATGCCACATCACCTCCAGCAGAGGTCAACCCATACTGAGCAAGAGCTAGAATAGAAAAGTATGGCTCCCCTAAGAATTCACTTCCTATGGAGACGGGAGACCCAAATAATCTTCTGGCCTTCCCTTCTCCTTCATCCACAGGAGTAAACCTCTCCACTAGGAGCAGAGACAACCCTGTTCCATGCTTTATGGGAATAAATAAGGTGGTGCTAGAACATGTTAGAACTTATCCAGAGTGAGGAACAGAGTGGTGACCCATCTCTCCACAGGGCAAGAAACAACACTATGATAGCCAAGTGGAGGCTGTGGAACGCCATCACCATCAGATTACAGAAAGGTTAGAAGCAGAGTATACCCAGAGGCTCCAGGACCAGGCTCGACGCCTAAAAGCCCAGCAGGAGAAAGACTACACTCGAAAGTTGCCTGCCCTGAGAGAGAATGGGAAAGAGGTAAGGAATTGCATTGTTGTGTAGCTCCAGGTCCCAGGCACACTCTCTTTAGGGTCTGGGAGTAGAGTATGAGATAAAGAGGAGCTGAGGGCCCAGCAAGCCCACTCCAGACACATGCCACCCATCACCCACCTGGTGTGGGGCTTAGAACAGTACTGATGCAAAACTTGGAATGATATATAAAGGCGCATCAGGTGTCCTCAATGTGATTCTCGCCAAGGTACAAATATATAATTTGGGTAAGGTGACCAGGATTTAAGGAAGACGGGAAAAGGCAGGGAATGAAGTGATTGGGTGGCTATAGGCCTTCCAAAAAACAGGGTTGATATGGATCCCATTTTATTTGGGACTAGGGGTAGGCAGCCTAGGGAATAACAAGCAGGGTCTTTCTTGAAGGGAAACTTTTGAATATTACTTTTCAAAAATTTACATATTTCAGTGTCTGAAAATTCCTCTTTCCATGCTCTTAAGTATTTATTTTGAGGTAAGCCAGTTCACATATTAGAATACAGTGTCAAAGCCTCTGATGGAAAGTAGTAAATAAATAAAAGTAATATAATTAATAATTATTTATTAAAATAAAATAATGATGATATAATTAATAATAAATAACAAATAAGCATTACACAGCACTTTAAGGCTTACAAAGTGCTTTGCAAATATCATCTCATTTTATTCTCACAACAATTCTGAGAGGTAGGTACTATTATTCTCCCCATTTTACAGATGAAGAAACTGAGGCAGACAGAGATTAAATGCCTAGGATTACATAACTAAGTGTCCGAGGCTGGATTTGAACTCAAGTGTTCCTAACTCCCGGTCTAGTGCTCTATTCACTGCACATAGGCTTTAAGATTTGCAAAGTGCTTTACACAGATTATCTATTTGAGTTTCATAATAACCCTGTGAAACAAGAAGCAATTAACAGGCACAGGTAGGTAGCCCCATTACAGATGAGGAAACTGGGGCTTAGAGAGGTCAGATGGCCTTTCCCTGGCCGCTAGTACCTAGCCAATAAGTGTTCAGATATGGGATCTGAATCCAATCCCAGAACTGTCTGACCTCAGTAACACAGGGAGGATACAACTTTCAAAGGCAGAGGGTACCTGTCTTTAGCACCTACTATAAATTAATTTGTACATCTTTCTTTTTGCTTTAGTTCATCTGTGGTATCATTCTGGGCAATATATTGTTAAGTTTATGGACCATGTTATCAATCTAGCTGGGATCTGGAGGAAACAGATCTTTTCCTTACTAATTCCATCTGTGTAGAGAATACCCTGTGTGGAGACACCATTTACTTATGTGGAATGGCAGTTCATCTATAATTTATAATCTTAGAGAGTTTCTTGGGGTCACTGAGAGGTTAAGTTACTTCATACAACTAATAGTGTCAGAGGCAAGACCTCAACCCAGATCTTTCTGACTTGTAGGCTGGTCCTCTATCCACTATCCACTATTTTGTCTTTAGACTTGTTCTTTGTTTAAAAAAGAGGAGATCCCTCCAATTTAAATGCCTTCAAGGAAGGGACTCTGTTTCACATATCCCCCTATGTGCAGTGCTTAGACATGGTGTTCTATACCCAGCAGTAGATTAAGAAATGCTTGATGATGGTGATGGTGATAATGATGGTGATGGTGATGGTGATGGTGATAATAAAGGTGATAAGGATGGTGATAGTGATGGTGATGGTGATGGTGATGGTGATGGTGATGGTGATGGTGGTGGTGGTGGTGGTGGTGGTGGTGGTGGTGGTGGTGGTGGTGGTGGTGGTGGTGGTGGTGGTGATGGTGGTGGTGATGATGAAGGTGGTGGTGGTGGTGGTGATGCTACTGCTGATTTATTTCTAGACAAAAAGTATCCACCTCTTTTCTTTCAGGAGCAGAGTTTTCTCCAGCAGCAACAGGAACAGCTGAACCAAGCCCTACAGAAACTGATCCAGGAGCATAAGAAAAAAGTGACCTCCATTGAATGGGAATGCACTAGCAAAGTCCATAGCCTCAAAAGAGGTAGGGCTTAGCTCAAAATTGTGCCCTCAGAGTAATGGATAAAGGACATGGGAGTGTTTAGCCTGAAGAAGGAAAGACAGGGAGGATGTGAAAATATCTTTGTATTTGAGAAGTTGTCATTTCTGAGAGAAATTATCTCTATTCTGAGAGGCTCCAAAGGACAAACATTGGGCCAATAGGTCAAAGTTGCCAAGAAGCCAATTTCATCAGAATTTCCTCAGTAGAGCTGTTTAAAAATTAAAAGATGTGTCTTATTAGGTGATGAGTTCCACATCACTGAATGCGTTCACTAGAGGTTGTTAGATGGCTGGTTACTAGGGATGTTGTAGAAGGGATTCATGCTTTGGATAAGAAAAAGTCTAGGTGACCTGAAGATTCCTCCCAATTCTAATACTCAGTGGTTCCATGACCATCGGAGCTTCCCATGAGAAAGGACAGCAGGGATCCTAGAAGAAGGAATGTACAGTTATCCTTTCCACATCATGGGGTTAGGGACACTGCATCCCCGTGATATGAAAAATCCATGTAAAGTTTTTTTGCCCTCCCTTTGTACCAGAGAAGAAGTCTGAATTATCATGGTATTAAAAGATAAAATATGTTGATATTACACAATACTACACATATATTTTATGAATTTCTTAGTTTCTAAACTTTTTCTGTGTCATCCACTGGCTTTCATGTGTTGTCTTGTAGCTTCTGCAAAACTCCCAAAAAATTCCTATTTAATTTCTTATGCCAACCCGGGATATATCAAAACCATGATGGGGAAAGTGGCAATGTGGAAAAGATAACTATACGGTACTTGGCACATCACTACAAGGATCTAGGCCAGAGTATAATGGCAGGGCATTGTAAAGACATGGGCCACTCCTTCCAGACTACACCACCCACCCCACCCCCACCTTGCCCCAGGTTCAAGTGGGAACCATAGGTTGACCTCACTGTTCAGCAATTGTGGCTTAGACTCCAGTAGGGAAACAGATGTATGGCCTAGGAAAGCATTCCAATGTAAGTGATCATAGGTAGAATTTCAATAGAGTTTTCTAAGAAATATCAATCTTTTCCAACAGGATGTAGGTATGATGAGCAAGAGACAGTAGAGAGAAGGATGAGAATAGGAGACAAAGTAATCCAAGGTGGTCAGAATATAGAGTGCATGAAGGGGAGTGGTACATGAAAAAACTGAAAAAAAAAAAAAGATTGGAGCCAGGCTGTTTGAGGGCCTTGAATAAGGATCAGGAACTTGGACTGTAAGGTTGAGGAGATAACTCGTGTACATCTCTCTAATTGAAAGTGCTTCCCACAGATTATCAGCCAGCTGTGGGCCCGGGAAAAGGGACATTTCTTGTAGGTTGTTTTTCATAGGGCCTTCCTATCAAGGTTGAAGATCTCATCAGCGTATCCAAGGATCCAGCTGACTAGATCAGTTGGGTGGAATAGGGGCAGAAAATGGATGGAATGACCTTTGGCAGAAGTTCACAGAATGTTAGAGTTGAGAGGGGCCTTCGAGATCACCTAGTCTAGTCATTCATAACCTTCTTGAATATAAGGACCACATTTTTCATGTCAAAAAAATTCTGCAGATTTCTGCTCCCCATGATAGTAATTATTTTATTAATGTTTATTGATTGAGAAAACATATAATTATGAGAAGTTACATTACTGAGGATTTTTGGTGATGGAGGACCCTCTTCTCTCTAGCCCGGGAGGCTGTGATCTGGCAGCTGGAACAATCCCATTTACAAGACAAGTATCAACTCTTCAAACAGCAGGTGAAGGAACAGTACTCCCTCCACAGGCAACAGTTGACCAAGCGCCATGAGAAGGTAATGCCAATGCTGTTTTGATAACTAAGCCTATTGGCCTCAACTAAAGAGCAGCTCTGCCTGAATCTACTCCCCACTTCTTCAATGACACTCCAAAAGATGTCCCTCAGGCATTGAGGGCCTAAAATGGGGTGGGGTGGGGGTCAGATAAAGGAACTGGATTTATTCCTCCCATAATTGTTTATAGGTTTAGGTTTTACTAGGTCAGTCCATTACTTTCTAAGGGCCAAACTCAGCATTCACGTGATTGCCCACGTGTCTGTTTATATAGGGCTTCATGGTTTGCAGAAAGCTTTATAAGTCATCTCATTTGATCTTCACAATAACCTCTGTAAGGTGGGTGCTATTGTTATTTACATTTGAGAAACTGAGGCTGAGAGGGTCACATAGCTATAAATGTCAGGGAAGATTCCACCTCAAGTCTTCTTGACTCCAAATCCAATATCCTATCCACTGTATCACCTAACTGTCTTATAAAGAAAGGAAAATAAGAGTAACAGGAGGGTAAAAAAAAAGGAAGGGAAAAAGAGAACAAGATGGGGAATGGGAAGTCAAGTTTATACAAGAAGGACCCCTCACATAATGCCCCCAACATCCAGTACATCTCTGTAGCTCCAATCCAATCCAACAAGTTTTCATTAAGCACTTATTATCTGCAAGGAAATGTACTGGGGATTCAATGACAAAACAATAAAATAGCCCCTGCCCTCAAGGAACTTACATTCTACCAGGGAGATTCAATGAATTAACAGATAAGTATATACATCATCATTTGGAGAAAAGAGAGAAAAAGAGTAAAAAAACTGTAATAATCTTTCAGAAACCAGACCAGGCCACTCATAACAAGTTTGAGTTTGGCAGCCTTCACCCTAACCCACTGCCAAGTCTTTTCAATTCTACTTTCACCATCTCACTTATATCAGTCCCTGCTCTCCACTTTCTCTACCCTCGTGTTTTCATCTCTTCTCATAGACTATTTTATAGGCTGTTCACTGATCTTCCTACCTCTAGGTTATCTCCTCTTTAATCCACACTGCACCCCCACCTCCAACTCCCCATCCTCCCTTCCTGTCCTCTCTCTGCACAATTAATGTACTTCTCTGGTCCTGTAAGTCTCCTACTCAAAATCTTTCCATGATTCTCTATTGTCTACCCAATAAAGCAGAAATTCCTGATCCTGGCATTCAAGTCCTGCAGTGACTCAGCTCCAACCTACCCTTCCAGCTTTATCATATACCAGTCCCCTTCACCCACTTTATACCACATTCTATACTCTCCGTTCTAGCCCATCTATACTACTTTGTCTCTCATTGTTCTTCTTCCCTCTACTGTCTCCATGCCTTTGCTCGTTACTGTTCCCCATCCCTGAAATGAACCTCTCCCCACCCAACTCTATCTGCTTATAGAATTCTTTCAAGGACCATGTCACACAACACCTCTTCTATGAAACCTTCCTGGACTTCCCCAAGTGAAAGTGATCACTCCCTCTTCAAATATATCATAGAACTTTTCTTGGAGCTCCTCTTTATAATTACATTGATCTTCCTTGTATAGTTATATATAAATATGTTCTTTTAGAGTAAGACCCGTGTCAGATTTATTTTTGTATTCTCAACACCAAACATAGTGTCTGTACATAGTAGCACTTAGTATTTGTTGAATGAATGCGTAAATGGGTTTATGGATGGATGAATGGATAGATGGATGGATGTAATAAATGGATGGATAGATAGATGGATGGACAAATTCCCCCAACTTCTACTTTATATGAAAGTCTTATCTTATGCTTTGCAGGACAATGAACGGATGCATAGTTTCCACAACCTCCTACTGGAAGAGTTGAAAAATCAGCAGGCCCAGGAGAGAAGTCAGCAACTAAAGTCTCAACGAAGTGAGGTCAGGATCCGCCTTGCCCAGTTCAAAGAAAGTCTCAAACTTCAGGACATAAGTGGTGCTGAGCACAGAGAGCAAATCAAACAGGTACTCCATTCAGGTCCCTGGAATAAGAATTTGTTAGTCACTTACCATGAGAATCATAGAAACTTAAGATGGTAAAAGGGGCCTCAGACATTACCTTGTTCCAACTACTCACTTAATGGAGGGGAGATTTGAAACCCAGATTGGTGAAGTGACTTAACCCAGAGTCGCACACACAACTAGGGAATAGCAGAGCTAGAACTAAAACCCAGGGTTCTGCCTCCCCGTCCAGGCTCTTTACATTAGAACAGGGTTCCTGTTCAGGTCCGGATCAGTCCAGATGGCCACTGAGGTACCCTCCAACTCCAAGATTCTGTGATTCTGTAAAATCAGTATGGGGTCGGCTAGGATCTGAAGGGACACAATCTAATCCGGTCTAGTCTCCGCTACCAACAGCGTGAGCTCAGGCAAATGCTTTTCCTTCACTGTCTTTCAGTTTCCTCATCTGTAAAACATGAGGGGCTTGGCCCTTCTGCCCTTGTAATGCTAATGCCTTCCCTCTGTTGATTATCTCCAGTTTATTATGTGCATGTGTGCATATATGTATAATTACACACGTAAGCATATATACACACATATATCCTGCTTGTATATGGCTTTTTGCTTATTGTCTCCCTCCCTTAGATAGCGAACTCCTTGAGAGCAGGGGCTATTTTTTTTTTTTTTGCTTCTGAAGGTTTTTTGGTCTTTCTTTGTTATCTCCAGTGCTTAGTACAGTACCTGGCACATAGTAGGCACATTAAAAATGCTTACTGATTTGACTTCTGCCTCTAATATATTTATGATTCTATGATAAGGCAGAATATGAAAGTAGTACAGGAAACATGGAAGCAAAGTGCTATGGGAGTTAGTTCAGTGGACTGCTGAATTAGTTAATAAACAAAGCATTTATTATAGAAATATTATATTTAATTATATAAATGTTTATATTTATTTTACAATTGTATAAAGTATATAATTATAAATATTAAATAAAGCATAATAAATAAAGCATTTATTTAGAGTTTACAATGCTAAGCACTGAGGGATACACAGAGAAGAGTCAGACCACCCTCATATTCTAATGAGGGAGACAACATTAATTAATAATTTTAAAAAAGACAAAATTAATTAATAATGAGGGAGGGAAGGTCTCAGCTACAAGTCCGTCGGAAAAGTCCCAAGGTCCTCAGGGTCAGCAACAAAGCAGGTGTTACTGAGAGGTTACTTCCTGTTGCGGGGGAGGTGGGAGACCAGAGAAGGCTTCATAGAGGAGACAGCCATCTAAGCCAGACATTGAAAGGGATGGGCAGAATTTCAATGTGTGGGGGTGGGAGGGAGGTCATTCCAAAAACAGAGTGCAGCATGAGGAAAGACAAAGAGTCCAGCTTTGCTAGAGCGAAGGAACAAGAAGGGGGAGCGATGAGAATCAATGTTGGAAACGCAGGCTGGGGTCCGGTTGAGGAGTCTTGACGCCATCCTGAGCGCAGGCCACGGGAATCAGCGCAGGTTTCTGAGCAGAGGCCTGGGGCGATCAGAGTTGGAATACCCAGAGCCAGGGGCCCAGTCAAAGCCACTTTGGCTGCCCTGCCCCTCCGGCAGAGTCTGGAGGCTTGGTGGGCACCAGTGTGGCTCATTGTATTTCTTGTGCAGTTCTTGCAGCGAGAGGAAGGGCGCCAGAAGGCGGACACAGAGCAACACCAGCAGAAGCACCACAAACAGCTGCAGGATCTGCAGCTGCAGCTGGAGGCCAACGTGCAGGAGGTGGGGCAGATGCAGGTGAGCGACCGAGGGCTCTCTTTGCCCGCAGGTGAGCCGACAACAGAGAGGGAGAGAGCAGAAAAGGAAATGGCAGAGACCTAGCAGACCGGATCGAGGGGTGCTCAGGCTCAGGAGGGCTGGAGAAGCATCGCTTGCTGTGGCTTCTAGAAATCTGCAAAACTGGAAAGGACCCCAAGAGTCCTAGACTGACCCCTTCACTTTTATAGATGAGGGAACTCTGCTGGGCCCAGAGAGGCTGAGCGACCTGCCCAAAGTCACACAGGTAGTAAGTGTCAAAGGTTGGAGTTGAATAGAGCGCTGGGTCTGAAGTCAGGAAGACTCATCTTCCTGGGTTCAAATCTGGCCTCAGACACTTAACTAGCTGTGTGACCCTAGGCAAGTCACTTCACCCCGTTTGCCTCAGTTTCCTCATCTGTAAAATGTGCTGGAGAAGGAAATGACAAACCACTCCAGTATCTCTGCCAAGAAAACCCCAAAAGGGGTCATGAAGAGTTGGATACAACTGAAAAATGAGTCAAGGACAACCTCTGAGGGATCCATGATCCAGTGCTCTTGTGCCTCGCCCCATGGCTGCCTGTATTTTCATGAGCTTGAACAGCGAAAATTAAAATCACGACTGGCAGCCAGACACCACCTATAACACAAAGGAAATGACTTGTGCTTGAATTTCGAGGTGCACATGGCATGGAGGGACCTTTAATTCTGAGTCTGTCTCTCACTCACGGTGTGACCTTGAACTTAACCTCCAAGTCTCAGTTTCTTTATCTGTAAGAGGAAGATAATAATATTTAATACCAACTTCATTTCAAGATTGTCATAAGGATCAAATGAAATCATTTCCATGAAGCACGGTGTCACGGTGGCTTATTGTGTGCCTAACAACAGTCTTTCCTTCTGTACTCCTATGTCCCCTTTTTACTCAGAGGTGGGGAACCTGTGGCCTTCTAGGGCCTCGGGTGTGGCCTTTGGACTGAGCCCAAGTCTCACGGAACAGATCCTTTTATTAAGGGGATCTGTTCTGTGAAGTTTGGATTCAGTCCAAGGGCCGCACTTGAGGACCTAGAGGGCCTCTTGTGGCCTCGAGGTCGCAGGTTCCCCACCCTTGGAGTTGCTCAGTTTATTTCTTCATTCCTCTTCTCTTCTAAACCCTCCTCCTGTAACTCCTATGCTGACCCTTCACCCCACCCACACAATATTCATGTTCCCCAAGGTTTTTACTTGGTCCCCTTCTCCTCTCTCTCTGTACTCTCCTTTGGCAACCTCATGGCATATGCCTTGCAATCCTGCAAGGTAGGTGCTATTATTATCCCCACTTTACAGTTGAGGAAACTGAGGCAAAGAGCAGCTTTCGCAGGCTTTGTTGTTGTGTAGTTATATCTGACTCTTTGTGACCCCATTTGGGGTTTTCTTGGAAAAGATAGTGGAATGGTTTGCCATTTCCTTCTCCAGCTCATTTGACAGATGAGGAAACTGAGGCAAACAGGTTGAAGTGACTTGACCAGAGTCATATAGCTGGTAAGTGTCTGAGGCCAGATTTGTTGAACTCAGGAAGGTGAGTCTTCCTGACTCCAGCCCTGGTGCTCTATCCACTTCACCACCTAGCTGTACCTAATTGCCCAGGGTTACATAGCTCATAAGTATCTGAAACTGGATTTGAACTCAAGTCTCAGGCCCAATGTTCTCTCCACAGTACCACTTAACTGCCATGGCTTCATTTGAACCCCCTCTGTGCAGGTGCCTGCCAATTCCACATCTCTGATCCTGATCTATCCTCTGAGCTCCAGATCCACAACATGGTATAGTGGAAAAGAGCAGTAGGTTTAGCCAGAGGTCCTAGATTCAAATCCCCACTTTGCCCTATGCTTACTTTGAACAAGTTAATTCACCTCCCTGGTCTAGTCATTTCATTTCATTGCTTTGACATTCAAGCCTTCCACAATCTGTTAACACCTTACCTTTCCAGTTTTCTATCATATTGCTCACCCCCCCCGCCCCACCCCTGCATTCAATGCTCCCGGCCCACTGGCCTGGATTTTATCCCTCAAACACATACTACACTCTCTTGACTCTGTCCCTGGAATGTCTTTCTCCCCGCCCTTCCACCTCACCTTTGCCTGCTGAAGTTTGACCTATCCTTTAAGTCCCCACTTAAATGCTTCCTCCTCCTTCAGATTTCACTTAGTACTTCATTTTGTAACTCTTTACTGTATTTATCGTGCAGTATTGCATTTTATCAAGATCTGTATTGCTTTATCTTCCTGCTAGATTAAAAACTTCATGAGGGCAGAGATCAACTAAAGTTTGTGTTTCCCCCAACTGCCTGGCACAGTGCTTTGCGTGCAGTAGGCACTAAATAAATGTTTGTGGTATTTTTATTTGTAAGTACCTACTATGCAATAATAAGGATAACTAACATTTATAAAATGCTACATATCAGGCAATGTGCGAAGCACTTTATAATCATTACTCATAACAACCCTGGGAAGTAGGTACCGTTATTATCCTCATTTCACAGATGAGGAAACTGATGCAAACAGATGTTAAATGACTTGTCCAGGGTCACACAGCTAGTAAGTGTCTGAGGCCAGATTTGAACTAAGGTCTTCCTGATTCCATGCCTGGAGCTATTCACTGCACCACCTGGCTGCCTTGCTAGGGATACCACAATGAAAGCAATACAGTCGCGCCTGCAAGGGGCTTATCAGTTAATGTTTCTTTTGTTTCTGATCATAAATATTAGAACAGGAAGAAACTTGAAAGGAAACTAGGCCATCAAGCTGGAAAGACTTCAGTCCAGGTCTTGAGATAGATAGTGCATCTATTATCCAAGAACCTGCCTAACTAAGGTTGGACGGACCCATCACCAGGTTGGCTGCAGAGTGATAAAATTTTTAGCTATAGCAACTCTCAAGCTCAAATTACAGAGGGATTGAGATCTGTGCTGGGGGGAAAGGGAGGATCCACACTGATATATTTACAGATCCTTATAATATGTGCAAGGTAATATGCTAAGTATCAGAGCTAGTCTAGTCTAGTCTAACAGCCTCATTTTACAGAGGAGGAAGCCAAAATCCAGAGAGCTAAAGAAATTTGCCCAACATTCCCACAAGTTAGTGGGAGAGTCAAGATTAGACCCGAAGTCAGCATTTATTAAGCATTTACTATGTGCTGGGCACTGTCTGCCCGCCCCCCTCTTCTGTTTTTTTTTTTTCCCTCTCTCATGACATCTTTTCTCCCTTGCCATGTCCTTTTATAATATCTGGACTTCAGTGGATGTTCAGGAGGAGAGTGATGGAAAGATGCATGTGTGTATGAGAATGGAAATATACATATTGAATCTCTGAGCTGCTTGACTTCCAACTCACTTATCTGGTCTGGTTTGGGGTGTTCATTTCTGCACCTTCCCCATTGCCCCCCACACACGTGCTTCTCCTGCCAGGACAAATCATAAGCCAGAGGCAATGGGGATGGAGTGGAGGTAAGGGGACACTCTATGAGTCATGTTGGATCTGTCAGCTGCCAAGCCCACTGGGGTTTGCCTGGGTGGGCCTAGTGGATGAGGGTCCCGGACAGAGCTATTGCTACCACTTCTGTCAGGCTCCTGAAGGAGGAAGGGAGTTGGGGCACTTTCTGGTTGGCTGGTTGTTAGCTTACAGGGAGAGCATGTCCGATGAGTCTGGTGGGATAGAGATAATTCAGATGTCCAAAATGGCCTATGGGATTTGTGCTGAACCAGAGGCAGGAGTGAGAGGCACGAGGGGTTGGAGAAAGGTAGGGAGCTTGGAGTAAATGAGAGAAGCCTGGACGTGAGTTCTAGTTTTGACTTTGCTATTAACTGGAACTTATCCATGTGATTTTGGATACTTGGATGAGTCTGGGTCTCAGATTTCCAATCAGTCAGGTAGGGATAAGAAGCCCACCTTCATAGCCTCAAAGTCACTGCCTCACAGTCATCTTATAATCTGTACTTTTAGCCATGACCTATTCTGCTTATACATAGAATAGCGACTGCACTTTCCCTCCTGCTGGCGATGAACTCCTCCTACATCTATGGAAATCCTTTTTTTTAAGGACCAAATCCAGAACCACCTTTTTCATGGAGCCTTCCTTAATGCTCTTTCTCCATCCCCCTCACTGGAAATAATTCATTTCTCCTTGGATCTCTCATCCTACTATGTTTGACCTCTCCTGTGCACTTAACGATATTCTTGCTTTATCATGCTTCTCTGTGCACTTGTCTTATCTCCTCCTCCCTTCACCCCCAGTAGTATAAGCTCCCTGTGAACAGGCACTGTGTCCTTTTTCATCTTCCTGTCCTCTGATACTTAGCACATTACCTTGCACATATTATAAGGATCTGTAAATATATCAGTGTGGATCCTCCCCTTCCCCCCAGCCCAGATCTCAATCCCTCTATAATTTAGGCTTGAGAGTTGCTACGGCCAAGAACTTTATCACTCTGCCACCAGCCTGGTGATAGATCCCGCCAACCTTAGTTAGGCAGGTTGTTGGATAATAGATGCACAATCTATCTCAAGACCTGGACTGAAGTCTTTCCAGATTGATAGGACCCACCTATGCTTGTATTCCATTGGCATAGACTTTGAAAACCAGGGTCATGTCAAGGCCATGTTGGAGCCTAGGAAAATGGGACCTTAGTAGAACCCTTGCTCTGGTAAGTGCTTAATAAAGTTAATTGAATTGAACACCTGCCCTCCTTTTTTCCATGGCTAATGTGATGACACAATAAGATAAGGTATATTAAAATCTTTTAAGGGTGGGAAGAAAGGGCTGTATAAATATGAGCGGTAATTATTATTTGCAGCCCATCCGTGAGAGGGTGAGCAGATAGACTATGGGTGAATCCTATCTGTGGGTGGCAGGTAGATCAGTGGAAACCCAGCCTGGGTATAGATGCTATGCTGAATATAGATGAGTAATGGCCAGTGAAGTCCAAAGTGGAGACCCCACCAGCTTGCCTTCCACCCTCTGTACAGAATGAAAAACTCCAGCGCCTGGTGGAACAAGAAAAGAAGAAGCTAACAGCCCTGGATGACGAACACACCATGGAGCTCCGCGAGTGGCAGGAGAGGCTAGCTACCCGGAAAGAGGTATGGTATGAGACCCAGTGGAAGAAGAAGGAGGTCGGGGAAGCTGGGAAAGCACGGGTTGTTGTCCAGGCCAAGACTACAGAGACGATTTGGAAATTGTGGCTACAGTTGGGACACGGTGCACACAGTAGGCACTCCATAAATGCTGGCTGATGGCAGCCACGATGTAGCATTGGATCCAATGCAAGCCCTTGTCAGGTGGGACCCTCTCAGGGTCACTCAGATTCTAAGAGGCAGAGATAGAGAGGAAATGCATTCCAGGCATGAGGGATAGACAGTGCAAAGGCACAGAAATAGGAGATAGAATGTCATTTGTGGAGCTTAGTAAGAGGCTTTTCTGGCCGCCCACCGAGAACAGGAAGGGGAGTAATGTACAACAAAACTAGAAAGGCAAATTGGAGCCGGCTTACGAAGGGCTCTAAAGGCCAAACGAAGGAGTTTGTGATCTTGGAGGTAACAGGAAGCCACTGGGGGTTAGTAAGGGGAGTGACAGAGTCAGACCCTGTGCTCTAGGAAATCCAATCTGCATGGAATACGGATCGTGTGAGAGGGCATGAGTGTGTGATGAGGCCAGACAGGTAAATCACAGGGACTGGAATGGAGGCGCGAGGGAGTGTGTACTTTACTTGATAATCAGTGCAGAATTTTGAATGTGGAAGTGACATAATCAGTGCTGTGCATTAGGAAGATTAACCCAGGCAGATCAAGAAAGGAATGAACTATGGCCTCCTTCTTTCTGTGCTTCAGATGCTGGAGGAGGAGCTGTCTAGAGCCCAGCTTCGTTTCCCAGGGCCCCGGAGAGGGAGTGAGCCAACAAGGAGGCTTCAACGGCTCTTCCCTGTGTTCCACTTCCCTACGTGATAACCTCAGCCACAGTGAAGAGAGCTGGCTCACACCTTCTTTGACCTGGGAGAGCTAGCCCACACCTTCTTTGACCTGGGGGAGCTAGCCCACACCTTCTTTGACCTGGGAGAGCTAGCCCACACCTT